TTATATTCGTTTACCAAATTTTTCTGATAATGAAGCAAAAAATTGGTAAACGAATATAAAATGGTGGAAGATTTTCTGAAATTTCTTCAAAATCTTTATTTAAATCAAATGAAATTAATGATTTTGTTTCTTTATTTATAACCAATGGTTGATTTTTTATTGAATTAAATAATGAACGATAGACATGATACAATATAATTAAACAAATAAGAATCGTTAACATTTTTAATAAACGAGATCGATGAAAATAGATCTTTAATAAACGATATCGAGGAACATACATTTTTAATTAGATTTCATTAGAAAATTCTTTTTTAAAAATATTTCTAAGAAAAAAAAGAGAAATCTTTATTTAATCAATCAATTCAATTAATCATTAAAAAATAAATTTAGGCTAAAAAATGTTCAATCTGATTAATAAAAATAAATTTCGAACAAAAATAAAAGGTGTCGAAGATAACGATTGAGAATAATCATTATCGATATTTATTTATTTTTTTTAAAAAAACTTGGACTTATTAACCGAATATAATCATTATCATATTAAAAATTTCTAATAATTCTAATTATAAAAAAAATTTATTTAACTATTGACATAAACATTTTCGAAATAATTTATTTCCTTCGATTATTATCGAAAACATTTGTAAACATTTCTTTGCTGAACACAAATATCCTTGTCGTTATTGTTCTTCTTCTAAGTAAAAATAATTTGAATACATTTTATGAATTTGCTGTGAAGTTTTCAAATAATTTTTTTCAATATGGTATAAATCACGTTGGTAGAACGAATAAAATGCCCAAAGTAAAAAACATCGAAAGAAAAAAACCAGGAAAGTTTTATTAATGCCACTTCAGCATATAATTTTATGCATAAGTGTAACCTATTGAGGTTGCTTAAGAGTGGATTTCTGAGAGACTCAGACACCGACGATAGCAAGATATCTAAGAGTTCGCTGATTTTTTTTATATGTTGTAGAGGATAGTGAGTTTAGTATCCTTTGAAATTTTCAGCTCGATCTGATCACTTTTTCCTATACAAATAATCAAAATAGGGTGTGGATGTGGGTGTGGGTGGATGTGGGTGAGTGTGGGTGGGTGTGGGTGGGTGTGGGTGGATGTGGGTGGGTGTGGGTGGATGTGGGTGGGTGTGGGTATGAATGTGGCTTGTATCGAGTGGCATTCAAACCCACACCTACACCCACACCCACACTCACCTACACCCACACCCACACCCACACCCACACCCACACCTACACCCACACCCCACACCCACACCCCACACCCCACACCCCACACCCCACACTCACCCACACCCACACCCACACCCCACACCCCACACCCACACCCCACACCCCACACCCCACACCCACACCCATATATATATTTATTCCCTTTTCTGAAAGAAAGGGTTATACAGCGGTTAAAAAATGCTTAAAATTTGTCTGTCTGTCCAGACCAATCAGAAACGAGCTTTTCTATTTTTAGATTTTGTGGTCATTCTGATGAAACTTTTCTATAGGTTATCGGGGACGAAGAATCCGAATCAGAGGTCGAATCTTTTATATGAGCTTTCATTGGTCGAGAAACGGACCAATCACAAATGAATTTTTCTGTTCATCGGGTTTCAACTATTCTAACGAAACTTTCCTATAGATTATCGAAGATGAAAAATCCGAATCCGAGGTCAGATTTTCGATCTGAGCTTTCATTGGTCGGAAAGCTGACCAATCAAAAACGTGCTTTTCTGTTCATCGGGTTTCGGCCATTCTGACGAAACTTTGCTATAGGTTATTGAGGGTGAGAAATCCGAATCTTAGGTCGGATTTTTTTTCTGAGCTTTCATTGGTCAGAAAAGGAGCAGTCAGAAACGGGCTTTTCTGTTTTTTGGGTTTTCGGCCATTCTGATGAAACTTTTGCGATAGATTATTGGGGTGACAAATCCGAATTGCAGGTCGAATTTTTTATCTGAACTTTAATTGGCCGAGAAACGAATCAGTCAGAAACGAGCTTTTCTATTGTTCGAATTTTCAACCATTTTGAGAAAACTTTGCTAAAGGCTATCATGGGCGAGGAATGCGAATCTGAGGTCGAGTTTTTTATCTAAGCTTTCATTGGTTAGGAGTTCGACCAATCAGGAACAAGCTTCTCTACTTTTCGCGTTTTCCGCGGTTTGGTAAAAATTTGTGACCAGTTATCGAGGGCTGGGAGTCTGAACCTGGGATGGAGTTTTTTATTCAAGCATCCTCTTGTCGAAAACCTGGCCAATGAAAAAGAACTTTTACTTTTTTGCAGGTTGTACGCGTTGCGGTGAGGATATATGAATTATAGGAGATATAAGATATATAAAATACATTGGAGATACAGCAGGTATTAAGAATTATTGAAGATAAATGTGATACTATACAAACACGCGACAACACATACACAAAGTATCGCACCTAATGTGGGTGCCGCAAAGGGACGGATACACGTGACATCACACACATCCGATTACAATGTTGTGGATTCGCCTGAGCAGAAATAGAAGGGATCTGGTGGTCTAGCATTTGAAGGTGATAGGCGACATCATTTGTTCGTATGTATCTCATTGTGGTGATCATGTAATTTTTTTTCGTTTTTGAAGAAATTCTGTAGGCACAATTTATGGAAAAGTATTCAGATTGATGAGATTAGGAACGTATTGAGCTAAAGCAATCTTCAAAACGAAAGACTTTGCAGTGATAGAATACCATCCACTATAAATGAACGTGTTTTTATCAATGATGCAGCCGACGGATTTAAAGGGTTGTTGTCTGAATTTGTTTCTTGCAGAGATGAACTGTGAATTCCTGAATATGTCGGAAAATATGCGTATTTTCAACCGCACTGATCAGAAATATCGTTTTAAGACTGAAGTCAATAGTTGTTGTGTTGTTCGGAAGCTTTTAAAATTCCTCGCGAAATTGTTGATATTGGTACGTTACTTTAAGAAGGCAATTGAATTGATAGCTATGAAAATATATAAGGCACAATTGAAGATTCCTCTTTAAATATTGTTATATCTAGACGTATGTGGAAATTACTGTGGCTTCTGTTTTCGGGGAGTAGTTCATATCTGCTGTATTTCTAATATCTGCAACGTTTCCTATATCTCTTCTATCACCTATATATGCTAGGGTGGCACTACATTAAGTTTTCTGAAACACTCCTGAAAAAAAATATCTAATCAAGACAAGTAATCAATAGAAAGCGAATCTTCAGGAAAATGGTTCCCTAGGAATGTTTCGAAGCAGACAATTCAAATCTGAGGTCCATGTGCCAAGAATCTTCTTTGACGTGCTATGAGTCAATATGAATCGGTTTTCGAAAAGAAAGGTCGACCAAAAGCATTCAGGTAGGGAAAATTTGAATCTACTGTCGGTGCTGCTTGAATTTATATTCTCAATCCTGACATTCTGGTTCCTTCATTTCTGCCCTGCTTGCTAGAAACCAACCAAGCGTAACTGAGCTCTGGCAGGGGAAATCACATCATATTCTCACAGATCGACTTTATACCTAGAGCACACTCGCTACATCCAATTAGATCCATTCTCGAATTTCGCTCGATTAGAGTTATTGTCGACCTTTCTTTAAACAATCATATTTTTTCTTATGGTGTTCATTAAAATGAATATTTCTTCTTAGCTTTTCTTCGATAAATCTGGTTTTCTCCTTCCGTTTCCTTTTTTCGCAAGGAAGAGTCATTATCATCAACTTGTGTGTATGTTTGTTTGTCCTTCCAAATACTCTAGAAGCAGTACACTCAACTAGTCCAAAATAACCATATGGGAAAGCAGACCACGGGTACAAGCTGATAAGACTCCAAAATCTATGTTTTGTGGAATGAAACTTAACTACAGGTGATTGCCTGTAAAAAGTCAGCGCAGAAATTGTTTTATATATCAAAGCTTACTATCTCTGTAGAATCGTTGGAAAAAGAAAATGGAAAAATTGTTGTAAGTCTCAGTTATCATGTGTTTTTCAGTCAGAATCTTGAGGCTTATACATTTCATATTGAGATTAAGTTACCTGTTTACAAGAAAATGGTAATATGAGACACAGAAACGACGAGTCTGACGTGGCGCATTATAGGGGTGCCGACTACTAATTACGTATTGGTATATTTGTTTCAGATGAAATACGTTTTTTCAGGAAGATTCACACAGTATTTCATTCTCGCATTGAGATTATTCGAACGAAACTGCCCAGTATGTGTATCATCCGTGTGTTTGTTAAGTCAATCAGAGACAAATAAATATCTTCAATGGGCAAGAGAAATGAAAAAAATGTTGAGAGTCGGATGTATCATTACGGCTTCTTTTGGAAACGATGTTGCAAAAAGCCAAACAGAAATGAGAACTTTTACTGATACTGTAAACTAAAAAGTATATCATAGAGAATGAAGAAAGATAATCTAGAAATGTTTCTACGATTCATCAGCAATATTTCGCTATCTAAAAAGTATAGTATTCGATAAGAATACAAATTCAAGCATTTATTTTTTTTAATTAAAAACTCAACAACGAATTCATATTGACTTTTATAAAGAATCTAACTCGATTTCTCTATCTGAGTACTTTTCTAGAAAATATAAAAATCTACTAGGACTTTATATTGTAAAAATAAAATTGTAGTTATTCTCTACAGCTAATTGTACTATAACCTGAAACCGTTTATAGGTCAAAAATAAGTAATATAATAAAAAGAAAAAACAAACATTCCTAGTTAAGCAATATTTTTTCAAAACTCGACAAAAACAAATAGATGTTGAACAAAATTTTTCATCAAAAGATTATTAGAACAAAAAGAAATGTGGATGAAGATATGACCAATACTATAGCTGCCACAAAGTGCATCCATGGGATTCAATTAACGGAGGAGTAAACTCTAACGAAAGACGACAACTATTTAAAAAGACATTTCGATAAAAACAGAATGTCTCAAAATGCAATGCTTGGTATTAAATTTAGGAAAATTTCATGAGAGACAACATAGTTTAGAAAAAATGAAGAAAAACTAACAATATTCGCTTTATTTATGGAAAAAGTATTAATCCAAATAATCTTCTTCTTTCAGAAAAGGGTAAGCGAATCGTTAGATGAGCGTTACTTGTATTTATATAAAGAAAATAAGCACAGTGAAAAAAAATGAGGAAACAGTTTTTTTCGATTTCGTTTCTCTGCATGAATAATAAAACCCCTGATTTATACCACATATAATATATAGATATTGGTTGTCATAAGTATACCACATTATCAATTT